CAAAAGTAACGACAATTTGTTTTATACAAAAGTAACGGCAAATGGTTTTGTATAAATATTTGTGAGAAGAAGACATTTGTGCTGGAAAACCAAGCTTACTTTGGAAATAGGGGCTGTACGTCCCATCCGTAAGGTACTCATTTTGTTGTTTTATAGTTTTTTTTCATTTACTTAGAATAGTATTATAGGTTGTTATATTTTCCATGTCAAATTCCATTGTAATGTCTATCTAGCTGGGTTGCTCTGGCTGTGCACCTGAGTTGTCTTGTATTAGGAAATTCTTACTATGCGCCTTTCCCAAGGGCACAAAATCGGAGCCTTCCAGGGATTCGAACCCAGCACCTTTAGTCAAGAACCCTGACCAGAAGACCACGTCTTACTTTGCACTTAAGTCTCCGCCGTCTACATCTGATGCACCGATAAGACGCCGTTACAAGACAACTAAAAGCTAGAAGAGTGCTACTCCAGGGGTGCCAGAGTATACAGTGCAATTTAATGGGATACAGTGTAATTTTACGGAATATAGTGCAATTTTACTAGTATACTGTGTAATTGTACGGAATACAGTGCAATCGTATTATTAGTGCAATTATACTAGTATACAGTGCAATTTTACTAGTAAAATAAGAGTACTGTCGCCTATGACTACTTAATACGCACGCTGATGAAACCAGCGGGAAAAATGTCAATGGCCTACACTTTTCCTGTTATCTGAAATAATAACATAATACCCGGGTACTCCGGTACCAGAATGATGATGATGTTGTCCGCCCGCACGTCAGACCTATTATCACGCACATCCTGCCATTGGAGGGATGACGCAAGCACACATCGCCGGTGCAGTCATCTACCCTGGATGCCAGCCAGGTTTTGCACGCTCGTAACTTAACGCATGTTCAAACAAGAGTTCCTTTCCAGTTTCCTGATGTTAACCTTTCCAGTTTAGGAATTATACGTTGATTTCACAAAAAAGAGCCTCATTTGTATGGATTATATCAGTTAATGATATTCTCTACCCAATGGCAGCCTCATCTAACAAAATCAGGCTGATCAAGCACTTCCTCATAAATTATGCAAATGAAGTCATGATTTGAATAAATTATGCTTATTGGTGTACACCTTCACTTCACATGCGGCAGGTATGAAATTCGCAGCAGTTACTACTGTCAAATTATAGCAATTTCCAAATTTTCCATTAATTGTGCCAATTAGGTTTTCATTTACATAATCTATATCCTCATATAAGTTTTTCTCGTTCTCAATTGCATGTCACAAGTGTTTCATAGTCCTATTCACGAACGAAGCAGGGTAAGAGATTTTCCTCGTTAATTATGCAAATTAGCTCCTGATCTGCATACACCTTCTTGGCGAAGGTACAAAAAATTAATACTGAGGTCACCAACCCGGATCCAGCTTTTGGGAACGAAAAGTATGATATAAAAGACAAGAAAACGTTTTAGAAACTAATCATGAGTAATATTTGTGTTATATTCTTGATATGAATTGTTCATTGCTCGTTGATGCCAATAGCCCGGCCGGGCTCCGGTTTGGAAATGTGACCTCAGCATAGGATTTCATGCATTGGCACTCTTTTATGCTAATATATATGTTGAGGTCGCATTTCCAAACCGGGGTCTTATGGAACGACAAATATGACATAAATGGCAACAAAGCACAAAAATTCTAAAAAAATTAACAATGAGAACTATTTTTTATTATTGATATAAACTGTTGATTTTTCGTTAATCGAAACGTCCCGGCCGGGCCCCGCTTCTACTTCAGCAATTTTAACTCCCAGTTAAAAAATCCTATAGAGCTGGGCAGCTACAAGGGACACAACCGGGTAACGTCCTGTAGTACAAAACGAAATCCTAGAGCATAAGTATTTCCCTGCCTCCGCTACTAATTGCTGACTAAGATATACTGAAGCACTATATTGCAGGCAATTAGCTTACCTTTTAACTCATCACATACTTCATTAGATGGAGTTGTTATAATTTGTCTGTAGGGTTTGAGACAGGTCGTAAAACCTTTTCAAACCTCGATTATTTCCCACAAAGGGCTTTTAGTTAATCTAGTGCGGCGAAAGTACCCATTCTGCACTCAGGTCTAATTGACGAGAAAGTTTTTTCACTCTACATGAGGGACGTCTATGTCAGCGTATTCTCTCCAAGATTCCCAACTGTCCTCCAGATGCATATTTTCAGAGACAAGTCGACTGCTTGTACTCCTAAACTCCAAGCAAATTCTCCGGGGCAAGGGAGTCTAATATGTACAATACATAAAAGAATGTTTCAATCTTAAGAGACTAAATGTTAGAGAATAGTTAAACCTTTATTTTTATCACTGATATATATTCTGTACTTAATTTGCCACATACATATATTCTGTACGTAGGATGAAGTTATCCATGTATTTAACTTTGTTAGATCTCTAGTTGCAGAAGACCACACAAAAGTCGCTGTATTTTTTGTTGTGCCAATAAAGAATCTGCTTTATATTATTGACCGCCAGTAACCATTGGTGGCGTATTACAAGTCTTTATTTTTTTGCAAAATCATACCCGAAGGCTAATTGCTTTTACAGAGTAAAAGATACTATACGGTACAATAAAGTACGTAATAGGGAACAGACAAATACTTACTGGAAAATAATTATACTTCTACTACTATGCTTGCTATTATGAGGTTATACTTATTCTTTGAATACTGCCTGGCCAATTTGATGCTGTCTTGCCAAAGTGACACTGTATTGCAGCCACCCAAAGGCCAGCTTGGAGATAACTAGTATTCCCGGCAAATTGTAAGTCTGGCGAGGGACGACCAACTCAGGAATAAGCGTGTCTTGGTCTTTAAATCAGCAGCCCTCTTGCCAGCTCAACCCTGTGGCAGTAACTGTGCCCTGCAATCTTTATTGTTTTCTCAAACCAAGTCCACATTATAAGGCTACTTTATGGATGACATTCTCTGAAGACACCCCCAAATTAGTGCGCGCGGGCGAATAAAAAAAATCCAGCCAGAAAAATGCTGCTAAACCACAGGAATACAAAGCTGGTGTTGTGAATTGCAGTAGTACATAGCGACGTTTACAACAAGCCGGCACATGCTGGTCTCTTGCGGCATTTCTGAGTCGGCAATGTACCGAGTTCTTGAGTTCAATGGAGCTTCGGCAGCCTGGGCGCCATCCTCTGTAGTTGCCGCGGCTCCCTATTGTCGCTAGCTACCGTGGACTACGGAGGATGGCACACAGGCCAGAGCCTCGGAGGAGGTGACTGTTCACAGAAGATCAGACCGCCATACGCATTTATGATTTAGTAGTAGCTTCAATACTGATACCCCCATAAATCATTCGTCCTATATGTCTATGATTTGACGAATATACTAGTATATATGACTATGATCAAATCAGAAATACTTCTGATGTTGCCATTTCTTGAGTAAAGAGACTCTTTTTACACAACCGAGTCTTTTTATTCAGCCGATGTTTTGGTGACCGCCTGTCACCTTCCTCAGGGCAATTCTCACTGGTTCACATTACATTGTAGATATGTAAATATTGTACACTTTGGAACGCATCTATGGCAGGGACACCTGTGCTGCAGTGCAATGTGAACCAGTGAGAATTGCCCTGAGGAAGGTGACAGGCGGTCACCGAAACATCGGCTGAATAAAAGACTCGGTTGTGTAAAAAGAGTCTCTTTACTCAAGAAATGACAACATCAGCAGTATTTCTGATTTGATCATAGTCATATCAGGTCATATATACTAGTATATTCTTCATATCATAGACATTTAGGGCGAATGGTTTATGGGGGTATCAGTATTGAAGCTACTTCTAAATCATTAATGCGTGTGGCGGTCTGATCTTCTGAGAAAAGTCACTTCCTTCTGATCTGACTGGTTCACATTGCACTGCAAAACAGGTGTCCCTGCTATAGATGCGTTCCAAAATGTACAATATTTACATATCTACATTCCAATGTGAACCAGTCAGAATTGCCCTGAGGAAGGTGACAGACGGTCGCCTAAACGTCGGCTGAATAAAATACTTGGTTGTGTAAAGAGAGTCTCTTTACTCACTGTCTCACCAACCTGATGAAACTATTCACGTTTGTCAAAAAGCAGTTACTCATAGACAAGCAACTGGATATGATTTTGGAAACGGTCAGACGTTTCAGGTAGTATCCACCAGCTTCCGTCAGTGACTGAGAGACCAGAGGAGAAATGCAGGTTTATAAGCACTAACTATTGATTGAACCTGTATTTCTCCTCTGGTCTCTCAGTCACTGACGAAAGCTAGTGGATACTAGCTGAAACGTCTAACCGTTTCCAAAATCATATCCAGTTGCTTGTCATGAGTAACTGCTTTTTGGCGTATTGTATTACCTGGATATTTAACCTTCGTCGACGTATTCACGTTTGTCATCTCTTGTTATCGAGTACAAGCTGTCCCAATGTGATGCATGACATGTTATTGCTATCTACTATCTATATCATGTCCTTCGTATGAAGTTGCTATGAACTCTATTAACCTCTTCAGATGTTATCCCTCGGGCATTTGCAAATTAAAAGAGAGATTTTCTTTCAATTGAAAAAAGGCCTAAAGGCCCAATGGACTCTATTTCCGCTTGACTACTAGAATACGTGGCCAGATCCATACCAGTGAGACATCATTAAATTAGAAGCAGCTGATTGGATGGCGCCAGTCACACGTATCCATGGAGACGGTGATCAGCCACCAATCAGAGGACAGGATGCCATCAGCCCTTAGATGCGTGGGATGCATGGTAATAAATTTGAAGGACTGATTCCTTGTCTTATTCGGTGAGAGTATGATCAGGTAACACCTCACAAAATCTCTTGGGTGCTTCTCGTCCTTCAATCAATGATTTTTGCACGTTTCTGCATTGCAAAATGAACGGGTAATTTATTCATACGTAAAGAGACCTAAAAAAAGCAACGTCTGGTGTAGCTGAAGGTTTAGCGGAGATCACAGTTAAGATGCTGCGAGAAGGGATGGAGAGTTTAGGTAACCGTTCCGTCACTGTTCATCCCCGGTACTTTGAGCGGCTACTCCTGCTCACCAGTCAGAAGGCGTGCGCTGAATACTTCCTCGGGGACAACCCTCCGAAAGGTACGTGAGTACAAACCTGCATTTCTCTCTTAGTGTCACTGACGAAAGGTGGTGGATGCTACCTGAAACGTCTGATCGCGTTTCCAAAATCATATCTGGTTGCTTGTCAATGAGTAACCGTTTTGGTGTATCTTATTGCTAGCCTCAAGCTTCTAGGCTTCGAGAGGCGGCTGGAAAGAGTAGAAATTGCCAATAGAGAGATTGGATGACAAGGGAGTTGGTCTGCTGGAGAGAACAGTTTGCCGCTCGGGTGTGGCAAAATGTACTCTCTAGCGGACCAACTCCCTCGGCATGTTATCTCTCTATTGCCTTGGCCGATTTTTACTCTTTCCAGCCGTCTCCCGAAGCCTGCTAGAGGCTATCTTATTACCTGGATGTCTAACCTTCACCGACGTACGTACGAATGTTTTAAGAATTTTGTATCATTCGTCCTTACCCATAGTCATACACAAGAAGCGTTGATCGTACTTTCTAAAGAAGATACAAAACGGCAGTGCATGCCATATGCTGCATTTCTCCTACAGTATCTTAGTGTCACTGACGAAAGGTAGTGGACGTTACCTGAAATGTCTGAAGTTGCTGGTCAATGAGTGACTGCTTTTTTTGAGTATATTATTACCTGGATGTCTAATATTCACCGACGTAAGGATGCTTAAAGAATTTTGTATAATCTGTCCTTTCCAGAGAGGATATACAACTGCAGTGTATGCCATATGCTGCGCCACCCTATGATAATGGTTAAATTTTATATAAACACTTACGGGTACATACGAATGGTTTATTGGTCAAACATTACCAGTGCAATCGCAGCCTTTCATAGCGCTGAATTGATGCAGGGTTTACAGTCACATAATACACATGATAGATATAACATATTGAATGTAACATATTTTCTCCACACACTTTTGTGGAACTGTCGCAAGGGTCTGTGCGGCTGCCATTCGGCGCCACCAGGTGACCTCAATAGATGTACGACTTAGTAATCCTATGTTCAATCATTGATTTACGTTACATCCTTTGTATTTTGTTTTCAAGCCTTCAAATGAAATATTTGATGCCTTTTATTATTTTTCTCCTCTAAAAGAAATATTGATCATGAGATACATAAATTTGCCATATGTTGTCAACAGGAAGCTGTGTACGTGCTTCTCTATTATAATGATATCTCCTCTACAAAATAGTTGATCAAGAGATACACAAATTTGCCATATGATATAAAAAGAAGCTGTGTACGTGCTTCTCTATGATAATGATATCTCCTCTACAAAATTGTTGATCAAGAGATACACAAATTTGCCATATGGTATAAAAAGAAGCTGTGTACGTGCTTCTCTATGATAATACATATTATGATACATATAATCTTCGAGGAGAAATATTCTAATCAAAAGCATTCCAATTAATGTTTACTAATAAATTATTTTGAGCGCTGTCTAATACACTTACCACTGGTTAACAGAAGTTATCTATGATGTGATTATTGGTGTGCATACAAAGTAAGGTAGTAAGGCCCTACCGTCTTAGTTTTATGGATGACATCCTCTGAAGACCCCAAAAACTAGTGCACGCGGGCGAATAAAAAAATTCCGGCCAAAAATAAAAATGCTACTAATCCACAGGAATACAAAGATGATGTTGTGAATTTGCGGCAGTACATAGCCCCTACACGACTAGCCGGCACATGCTGGCTTTTTGTGGAATTTAATGAATCGGCACTGTACGTATGTACTGAGTTCTTGAGTCGTGGAGATTTGGTGCCATCGGTGCCATCCTCCAGAGTTACCGCTGGTTCCGTATTGTCGCTAACTACCATGGACTTCCCAGGCCTAGAGCCAGGTCAGACGTGATCCTTTTTATTTATTTATTTTTGAGAACAGGCGAAAATCAATGCGCGCGTGGATGTCATCCATAAAATTTACTTGCTGTGGCCTAAGCAATGTGCAAAGAGCGTGTGGGAATAAGCAACGCTCTATCCATGTATACATTACTGAAACATTTGTCTCAAGTGCGTGTTGATATCGCGGTACATTGATGATTACTCTATGTATCATGTTAGATTATCGTCGTTAGACTTTAGAATATAGGATCCTGTAGCCCACGAAAGACGGTAATCTCTATATATATACGGGTAAAATGAGCTATGAATGGAACTGTACTTGAACTATTATGTATTTAGTACCTTCTCAAAGAAGGGTAATATGTTTTTGGTAGCGTTATATTATGTATGTATGTGTGTGAGTGTTATTTAGCACGACAACTCAAGAAGATATGATAATCATTGGATTGTCATGGAACTTGTAGGTCCTGATGAGACCTCGAAATGATTAATTTTTTTTAATTACTTCATATTCACCACAAAACAAGGCTCATGGGAGCCACTCAAGCATTTTGGGTTACTGTACAGCCAGTGAGGACAGATGTTTGTTGACCTTAAACTTGAAAAGTTAAAAATTATACCCATTTGGGAAACAATCACGCAGTAGCTTGTTCCATACTTCAAGGAAAGAAGCTTTCAGCATGGAACTTCCTCATAAGAGGTGGTGAATGGAGGAAGAGAGGGTGATTTGCGTCAGTGGAAGTGGCAAAACGTGTCCTTGCTGACAAAGTTAGAACAGGAGGCACTAGCGAGTGATGTTTTGCGGACCATTTACCGTGGAAGTAGCAATAAAATAGCGCAAGGCTTGCAACATTATTACGCCTATGCGAGGGTGGTTGTAGGGTGGCGAACAAGTCTCTCCCAACAAGATTTTATAAGCGGTTTTGAACTCGATTGAGGCAGTTTTAGGGAGCTCTGGGCAGCTCCAGCCCAGATATGACAACGATGTTCCATTACATTATGAAAAACTTAAACTGTTCTCCAACTCAAAATTTGACTCACCAGAAATTTTCTACTAAATCACTCAGTCTTCCTCAGCTATCTGACCCAAATGCTATGGACACGTAGTTTTTCGCACGTCTGACGTCAGCAAAGGGTCAAAGGTAGCTGAGGAAGACTGTGTGATTCAGTCGAAAATTTCTGGTGAGTCAAATTTTGAGTTGGAGAACAGTTTAAGTTTTGTCATAATGTAATTTACCAACTCAGATGAACTTTCATGCTAATGTTCCATTACATTTTGGCCCCCCTGGCAGCTTGTTATGGTACTGCAGCGGAACGTCCGGTTTTGATATCTCGTCATCTGCGCAGCTGCACATGCTGGGGTCACGAATTCTGGATAGATCTTGTTTAAGCTTATTTTGGTTCACTTATTCGTTTGTACATATGTTTAGTTGCAGCGTCAACATCAGTCAACTTGAGTGCGCCGCCACTATATGTCTGTAACGGTCTTCTCATTTGCATTTTAAAAGCGCCTGTATGTATGGTTCCAACAGCGAATAGAAAATCCACGTCTGATGGTGGCATGGTTATTAACAGACCACCTGTCCTTTCCGTCCTTCAATTCAGGCTAACTGGATTACAATGTAGGTCTTCCTGGTAGAATGTGTCCCAGACTTGCATACTTACATATGCCACAGCAAGTAATTTTTATGGATGACATCAGCGCGCGCATTAATTTTCGCCTGATTTTGGAAAGAAAGCAAGACAGTTTGTTGCCTCCTGACAGTGGTCAACATGCTGAAAATAGGCAAAGATGTCTGTTGCCATGCCGGAACGTGGATGGCAGATGAATATGAAGAGAGGAGACAAGACAAGGCACGGCTCTGATTCATTGTTTTGTCTTTTACTTTGATGCATTGATGCATTTCATTCATTTTATGTGTGATGTTCCCACTGAATCAAAACCATTTGTACAATGATGGAAATTTATATTTTTCAGTGACAAAAGGACGTTGTGATAGTTGGCAGTAAACTTTCTATGTAACCCCAAGTAGCGTCGTCTGCTTGTGCATCGCAAAGCCTCGGCGTCCTTGTAGGGGTGAATTCTGCAGCGCTATGCCTGATTACCTCTGCACACAGCCGCACGGTGTACCAGGTTGACCCGCTGTTCCTTCCAACATCCTGTCACATATTCAGTGGTATTGAATCCACAGGGTGACTGGATAACAGTCTCACCTTTGATCTAAGACCACAGCAAGTAGTTCTTATGGATGATTTTATGGATGATAATTTTCGCCAGATTTTGGGGGAAAAAAAAATTTTGTTGCCTTCTGACAGTGGTCAACATGCTGAAAATGGGCAAAGATGTCTGTTGCCATGCCGAAACGGATGGCAGATATACATGTATGAAGAGAAGAGACAAGTTTTTTCGCCCTATCGCATTAGATATGGAGTCTGGGGAGGATGTCATCCATTAACTTTACTTGCTGTGGGTTTGCAATACATGCCTTCCTGGCAGAAATGTATCCCAGACTTTTCATACTTACTTACGCTGATTAGCCACAATTTATAGACCTTCCTGAGAGTTTTGTATGTAATCATGTAGCGTCGTCTATTTGTGCATCGTAAAGCCTCGGCGTCCTTGTAGGGGTGAATTCTCCAGCGCTATGCCTGATTACCTCTGCACATGGCCGCACGGTGTACCAGGTTGACCCGCTGTGACTTTGATGCATTGATGCATTTTATTCCTTTTACATGCATGTGTGATGTTCCCACTGAATCAAAATTATTTGTACAATGATTGAAATTTTTGTACGATTGAAATTTATATTTTTCAGTGACAAATGGATGTTGTAATAGTTGGCAGTAAACTTAGCACAATACATGTATCATTTCTTGTTGAGCAAGGTTCATGATGTCAAAATTTTGAAATGTAGGACCCTTGTTTTTTTCGCCAGCCTTGTTTTATTTCGCCCGATCGCAACTTTACTTGCTGTGGCCTTAGCTCTGCACACGGCCGCACGGTGTACCAGGTTGACCCGCTGTGCCTCTGAACATCCTGCCACAGATTTAGCCAAATTGAGTCCACAGGGTGACACAATAACAGGCTCACCTTTGCTCTTAAGTGGGGGCGGCGGTGCGAGATTACAGACATGATTTTGTGAAATTTCCACACTTAAAGAAA